ACAGGGGCACGGTCCCTGCCCTGCTCCTGCTGGCCACACCACTCCTGATACAAGCCAGGATGCTGTTGGCCCTCTTGGCCACCTGGGCACCCTGCTGGCTCATATTCAGTCAGCTGTTGACCAGTACCCCCAGTAGATCAGTGTGACCCCTTAAAATCTCCTGCTGGCCGTGGCAATGCCAGCACCGCAGGCGTTGGGTGCTCCTTCACCCTTTCTCTAGCAAAGCCATGCAGGAGACATATTTCAGCCTCTTTTTCTAATGCAAAGAATCCAGATGCTGGTAGACCCAGGGTGGGGAGATGTTCAATAAACCATCTCTGGATGCTCTGTTCTCAAAGCACCTCTGGGTGTAGTGGGCATCTCGCCCCCGAAGCGAGCCCATGAGATGGTTATAGGATGAGGGGTAAGTTTTAAATTGCAAGAGGGTAAGTTGAGACTGAACACAAGGAAGAAATTCTTTACCGTGAGGGTGGTGAGACACTGAACCAGGTTGCCCAGAGAAGTTCCAGGGATGATGCCTCATCCCTGGAAGTGTTCGAGGCCAGGTTGCACAGGGCTTTGAGCCACCTGATGTAGTGGAAGATGTCCCTGCCCATGGCAGGGGGGTTGGATTACATGAGCTTAAAGGTCCATCCAACCCAAACCTTTCTACGATTCTACAAGACCCCATGTGGCTTTGGGCAGCTGCCAGCCACAGATGATGCCTTCCATTCAAGCCCACGTGAAAAGTACAGGATCTTCACCCTATCTCCTCTGTAATGCTTTCTCAGGAGAAGTGTGCCCAGTACTGGCCGTCTGACGGCTCCGTGTCCTACGGAGACATCACTGTGGAGCTGAAAAAAGAGGAGGAGTGCGAGAGCTATACGGTGCGGGACCTGCTGGTGACGAACACCAGGGTAAGAGTCTGGCCTTCTCCCTGCGGGGAGCTCCAGGTGCTCTTGGGTTTGGCTGTCGTTAACCGCTGTTGGTGTTCACGGTGCTTTGCGGTTCCTCTTGCAAGTGCCGAACCTTCCCTCTGGCATCTTCAGCTCCGTCATCTCCCCATCATCCCAGAGCAGTGTCCATCCCCTGTAATCCCACCTTCTTCCCTACGCTTACAGGTTCCTGTCCTGCTGATCGCTTGTCATCCAGTCCCTCTATCCTGCTGCCAACATGCAGCCCTCGTCTTCCTTCTGCCTTGTGCCTGTGCCCACCACCCAGCCTCCCTCCTGCTCCCTGTTCCCCACAGCCTCCCCTGCTGGCCTCCCCTCCACAACCGCACAGCTTTCCTAAGCGGGTGGTTTTCCCAAAGCCATAAGCTGGTGGGTTCCCTGGTACGGGTCTCCCACCAACTTACCTCAAGCTGTGCTCTTCCTCCAGGAAAACAAGAGCCGACAGATTCGGCAGTTTCATTTCCATGGCTGGCCAGAAGTTGGGATCCCCGGGGATGGGAAGGGAATGATCAACATCATCGCGGCTGTGCAGAAGCAGCAGCAGCAGTCTGGCAACCACCCCATCACTGTGCACTGCAGGTAAAGCCCGGGTGGAGCAGGGGTTGGCCACCCCTCCCAGGGGACCTGCTCTGCAAGAAGCCTTGGAGATGGTCAAAGGTCCCTCAGACTCATAGAATCATGGAATCATTTAGGTTGGAAAAGCCCTTTAAGCTCCCCCAGCCCAACCGTTCCCCTACCCCTGCCATCCCACCCCCAAGCCCTGGCCCTCAGCACCGCCTCTGCCCGGCTGTTAAATCCCCCCAGGGCTGGGGACTCGACCCCTTCCCTGGGCAGCCCCTTCCAGTGCCTGACAGCCCCAAGGGGAAGGAATTGTTCCCCATGGCCAACCTCACCCTGCCCTGGCACAACTTGAGGCCGGTGCCCCTCGTCCCATCACCCCTTCCCTGGGAGCAGAGCCCGACCCCCCCGTCTCCCCCCTCCTCTCAGGCAGTTGTAGGGAGCGATGAGGGCTCCCCTCAGCCTCCTCTGCTCCAGGCTGAACGCCCCCAGCTCCCCCAGCCGCTCCCCAGCAGCCTGGGGCTCCAGAAGACTTGGGCTGAGCAGGAGCAGCCCAGGCAGACGTGGTATGGGGTTTTCCTGCTCGGCTAAGCAGAGGCTTCAGTCTTGTAGAGCATGTCCTAGCTAAACTAGGAGAGGCTGGGGCAGGACCATTGGCTCCCTGAGTTCTCCAGTGGCTCCCCTATGGATTGTCCCCTGAGCAAAGCCAACACGATCAGGACGGGAGGTTTCCTTTACCTTCTGGTTTCTCCTTGCCAGCGCCGGAGCAGGAAGGACGGGCACCTTCTGTGCGCTGAGCACTGTCCTGGAAAGGGTGAAGGCAGAAGGGATCCTCGACGTCTTTCAGACGGTGAAGAGTTTAAGACTACAGAGGCCACATATGGTGCAGACACTGGTAAGCACAGCTGAGCGCACCCCATGCTCCTCCTGCCACCCCAAACCTCAGCAGCTGGGGACTCAACATTGAGCAAAAACTCCTCAGTTGAAGGTTTTCTCTCTCCATGAAAAGAGTAAGGGATGGAGGTGGTTTGGGAGGTATCTCCCCTTCCTCCTGCTAGGATGGCTGGAAGAGTAGAGCTTGGCTGGCTGAAGGCATCAAGCCCCTTTTGAGCACTGACACAAGCTGTAGGAGCCTCCTCAGAGACACCCTCAACCACAGCCCATGTATTTATGGGCTCCAGGAAGCCTGGAAACCTGTCCCGGAGAGGCTGTATTTATATATATAAAGCGCCTATCACCATACTGATAAATGTTCCTTGGAACCACTCGGACAGGCTTGGGCTGGCAGCGTGGCTGGGAGGGGAAGAGCAGGCAGGGCTGGATGAGGTCTTACAAGAGGGGTTTGCAAGGATGTTCATGGATTTTTAAAAAAGAGTCTGGGGTCAAAATTGAACTGTAGAGAGGAAGGGGAAAGCAGAGTTTCCCTGGCTGGTGGCACACCAGGGTGGGCAGCCCCGTTTTGGGGTCACAGAGGAGCTGGGACCCCCTCACAGGTGGGAATCAGGTTCCTGCCCTGGGTCTGGGCTGAGGACACCTGACCGTGCTTGGTCCCAGCTCACCATGAAGCATCAAATCATGTCTCTGGTGTGAATTTTCTTGGCCTAACCCTGTGCTCTCCCCGAATCCCACAGGAACAGTACGAATTCTGCTACAAGGTGGTGCAGGAATATATCGACGCCTTCTCAGACTACGCCAACTTCAAGTGAAGAAAAAGTTAAAAAAAAAAAAAAAAACAAAATGAAAAATCCACGCCCCGAAACGAATGACAGAAGAGTTGCCTTCTTTAATATTTTGTAATATTCTGTTTGTTAATATACCCCCCACCCCAAAAAAAAAAAATATGTGTATATATCTTAACTGTTTTAGAGGTTGGTACCATAAGCTTCATATTAGCTGGAGATTTTATATGTAGCAAAGTGTTAGTGCAGATACTGTTGGCTCCTTTTTTTCCAATGTTTTATTGGGGAATTAAATAGCGTGATGTTTGGATTAATATTGTCATACCACCTCTCTTCTGGAGAGTTGATACAGGCTGTTATTTTGTTTGTAAATCTCTTTTTTTTTTTTTTTTTTTTTTGAGGGGGGAAAACCTTTTTTTT